GATAGACTCGAGTGATAGCACAAGCATTGCGAGCCAGGCATCAGGGCATCCTGTCCGCAGACTTTCTTCCCATGCGGCAAGATCATCTACAGCGTCGTCCGCTTGCTTCAAGGTTTCCACAAACCCATCGACGTCGTAATCATTCCCAGGTTCTGACTTGGAGTGATACCAATCAACTCTCAGATTTTGGATGGCAGTACCTATTTTAGGATTGTTTCGAACGGCGCAGGAAAGAGGATAGATTTTGGTGCCGTCGATAGAGATTGTTTTGTATGCTTTTGGGAGGAAGATCGAATGCCAATCACGGCACACCAGTAGAAGATTGAGTTGATCGCTTTGGTCATATAGGTGCTCACTGATAAGGAGAAAAATGTCGTTGTTGAGAGACATGTCGGTAAACGAGCATTGGAGTATCGACGGCACAGAGAAACAAAATATCTGTAGGCAACTCTCCTATTGGCTACAGACCGAGAAATGAAGAGAGAGAGAGAGAGTTGGGGGGAGGGAGAACTAAACTATAGAATTAGCATCGAAGATGGTCGGGGGATAGAATTTAAACCCGTGGACTAGTTAATGGTCCACTGACTAACTACGCATTTTAATAGTGCTTGTTCAATAAACAACTCTTCCTTGGCAAAAATGTGGTCTTCAAATTTCTAGCCAATCAGAAGCCCTACAGCCTTGTAACTTGAAAAGCTACCGTATGATATCCTTTTCAGGACCACCAATACATAGCTCTCTCATTGGTTTATATTGCCAAGCAGTATTTCCAAGGTTAGATCCACTCCCATCTTCCAAGTACTAGATACTAACTTCATCCTTATAGAGTTTACGATGGTTATTCGTACCATTGTAAAGTCAAAGGTTATATATAGAAAAGTCCTGAAATGTCGGAGTAGTGTATACTTTCCAGAGCAGCATACTGTCTCGTAGCCAGGTCGAGTGGGTGAAAAGGCGGTCGTTTCTAGCGTCGAAAATGGTCATTTTCAACGTCAACTTTCATATGTCCTCGTATCCTGGTTGTAAAATAGGAGAAAATGTGATGGAAGAAAACACGAAGATATTCTATACCTTGGAAAGTATCGATGCTAGCATCTAATATAGTGAATTATTTCGTAGGCCTTTAATCGAGAAATGCTAATAGATACTGTGAAGCACTATACATACATATATAACTGAAATTACATTTTATTAATATTTATTTTGCATAGTCCATGAAGTTATACTATTTCATGTCCATGGTCTATGTAGAGCATACTTCCACCGTCAAGACGGAGCATATAAATAACCTAGTGCTACCGTCAGTAACCTTTTGATTTCCGTTAGATTGAATGGGATCAATAACAAATCTAGAATACTGCCTAGGACGGTTGGGGTCGAAACATGTACTATAATGTGCAAGAAAATAGACTGCCCATAGCTAGGTCTCTTCTAGGACTATCTCCGAAAATACGGATTTGGCTGAACAACACTAATATGCAACAGCTTAACTCCATTAAACACCGATGCTTACATTTGTAATCGCTGGTCAAGCTTCCAAGGTTTCCAGGCTGTAATAGGCCATTGCGGGGGATGACGGGATTGAGGGGAACCATAAAAGCCAGGTTCCTCGCTCTTTTACCTATATCCTAATCCTTGAACATTTCATACATCTATAGCTCCATAAGCCATCTCTCACAATGGTTAAAGTTCTCTTGACTGGTATGTGATTTTAATATGGCCTCGAACTGAATCTAATTATCTATTTTAGGAGGTAGTGGCTTCATCGCCGCCCACATTGTCGACATTCTGCTACAGCATGGGTATGATTAAGCCACATAGACATCACATACATATTGTTGGTTGACAATTTGACTCTAGATTTGATACAGTTGTTACTGTCCGATCGGAGGAGAAGGGCAAACGAATTATTGAGGCTCACCCCGACGTGTCGAAAGAGAAACTCTCTTATGTGATCGTCGAGGATGTAGCTAAGGACGGTGCACTTGATGAGGTTCGTGGAAGATTGTTTCTCTGAGAGATACACAACTAACGGAAAGACAACAGGCTGTCAAATCAAACCCTCCCTTTGACTATGTTCTCCATACCGCATCTCCTTTCCATTTTAACGTGCAGGACCCAGTGAAAGACTTCCTTGACCCGGCAATCAAGGGAACAACCGGTATTTTGAAGGCAATTAAAGCATATGCCCCTACCGTGAAGCGAGTGGTGATCACGTCATCTTTCGCGGCCATTGTGAACGGCAAGCAGCACCCCAAGGTCTACAGCGAGAAAGAATGGAACCCATTGACGTGGGAGGAGGCGATGGACCACTCGTCAGTTTACCGTGGTAGCAAGGTTAGTGATATTTGATGGCCAGTCTGAGTAAATGCCAGCGCTAAGTCAGTTCTATATCAGACCTTTGCAGAGAAAGCAGCCTGGACCTTCGTCGAGAAGGAGAAGCCGAATTTCGACCTTGCTACCATCAATCCACCGCTGGTATTTGGCCCGATCGTTAATTATCTCAACTCTCTTGAGGCCATCAACACCTCGAACCAGCGCCTCCGAAACATCGTCCAGGGTGCAATGAAGGAGAAATTAGCTCCAACAGGCAATTTCCTGTGGGTGGATGTACGTGATGTGGCCCTCGCACATGTCAGAGCCATTGAAGTTCCTGAGGCAGGAGGCGAGAGATTCTTTGTTGTCGCTGGCTTCTTCTCGAACAAGGAACTTGCAGACATTGCTCGCGAGACCCACCCCCAGTTAGAGTCCAAGCTGCCCCCTGCAGACGCCCCCAGCGACTTCCCAGAACACATCTATGGGATTGACAACACTAAGTCGCAAAAGGTCCTTGGGCTCAAGTACCGCCCACTGAAACAGACAGTCTCAGACGCCATTGATTCTATTCTAGCTGTTGGTGCTTAAATTAGGAGCGTCCTTGTTCATTTTATAGATCTAGAGTGAATTGATGGATACAGTGTAAAAGAAGAAAACAAATACTCTTCTTTTGCCACTACTTATATCAAGGAAATTTCAGTAACGAATTTTATCGAGCGCCACCGGATCTTACATCTTATAATAAAAAAATAATGCTTGCGGCAAAGACTGGTGGATCTCAAATACATCGTATAGATGTATAAAACCGCGGGTTTGGTCGTTACGGCTCCCCGTACCGCTTTGGCCCGTGTTCTCCGGTCAACTTTTCTCGCGCCAGCTATTCAAGATCACATAGTCAATCCATTGAACAAAATGGCTTCCGCCAGGCTATCGCCGACGGCGAACTTGCTGCGAAATTCGCGTTTGTTCGCACTTCCTAAAACTCTCAAGGGCCGCAATGACCTAACGTCGAGAGAATCCGACACCGCAACTCTGCCTCACCCCATTCGAGCCTCCATCGTTACACCACAATCATCCCTAGCTCGAGGCGATTGGGGATTGAAACGACCTTTACCGGCTAAGTCGACATCGGAGAAATCATCGAGACCTGTCGTCAGGGTGCACGCCCTCGATACCTATGAACATGTCACCGACTTCGAATCCGCCGCAGATCACACTGTGACCCTCGAGAAGTTCCAGGAACTGCACATGCCTATGTCTCTCCCCTCCAAAGTCAATTACGCTACAAGTGTTGTGCCAAGGCACCAAAGTCCGTTCGAAACGCATCTCGATAACACTGAGACTAGCCAGGGTCTCCAGGAACCTGGTGCCAAACAATTCAGACACACCGGCCCTTGGCTTGCTGGGCAGACGGAGGCAGAGTTCGCAGCGTATCTGAAGCAAGTGACTCGCAATAAGCCTGAGCTCCTGCAGAAGCTTCGTGAGCAGTTTGTCGCTAAGCGATCTGCCGAGATCCGGAAACTGGCACAGGATAATGGAGAGGACTTGGACACTCAACCCGCAACTGTCACCGACGCGGAGTTCAATGCCTACATTAAGACTCTGCGCAATGACCCATTCGCTCTCGGTCCTGTGATATTTGATCTACTTGATCTCGCTTCCCCCCGGCGGTTCCCAGCGAGCGTATCGGACGCAAATACTATCAAGCCCCTGGAAGCAAGTTGTCCTCATTCGAATACGCCGTCTCAGGACCCCCCCAAGACACACCCGTCTGCCGGTCTGTCCTACACGCGATCACACGCCCTGATTCACAACCATCCCCAGTTTGGCCCACAAGCCCACCAGCGCCCTGTGGAGGCTCGCATCTTGCGCCCCAAGGGCCGCTTTAAGGGACGCATGGCACGTGCCCTCGCAGGTATCGGTGGTATTGCTGTCGAAGATTTGAATGCCATGACCTTTGTGGAGCAAGGCACACCCCCCGGTCTGACTTTCTTCGATGCATCCATCCCTGGTGGAGGTAAATACTGGGTCACTCCCATCCGGGCTTCCGTTGACTCCGACGGCCGTATTGGCCTTTCATCTTATCGCGCGAGTGCAACCGCCAAGGCTCCTTATGGAATCGAAGACTACCAGAAGCCGAGCACCTTGACCATCTCCGATGTTGCCAATACCCCATCTCCGATAGTCCCAAGATTGGACAGGCAGCCATTCGGTCAGCCTCGGTTCCAGTCTTCCGGGGAGAACCGGACCCGGAGGCAACCCACGAGGGGCACAGAGGACGTCGCACGCAGCCTTCTCAACAACCTCAATTCTAAGTCGTAGGGGAAAATGAAGTATGGGTGGATGTGCAAGGGATTGTACCATGTATGATAGATTTGGTGCTTGTGTAAAGCTACTTTCATTTTTCTTTTCTGACTATGTCATATAAATCGATGCATCAATATCAGGTTATTTTCACAGCGATCATTGGAAAAACTCATACTGAAGGGAGAATAACGAAATACATAAGTTCGACAATGGTACACTTTTCGGGGTGTACTTTTTGATGTGTTTGCTACCTTCCTAAAAGAGCAAGCGCGATATTGTACATGATTACATAATCCAACACCAGATATCACCACGTGACTTATTGATTAGGGCCTAGGGCATGGACCCGCACAGGACTAAGCGAAAGCCGGCTCTCAAACTCATCCAAATCGGCACGAGTACTCTCGATCTTTCGAACATTCATTCCGCCAGCCAACAACCGCCAAAATGGGTCGCGTCCGTACCAAGACAGTCAAGCGCTCTGCTAAGGTCATCATCGAGCGTTACTACCCCAAGTTGACCCTCGACTTCGAGACCAACAAGCGTATCTGTGATGAGATCGCCATCATTGCCTCCAAGCGTCTTCGCAACAAGGTGAGATTCGATACATTGGAACCAACAACTTGAGAGCTCCAATTCTGATTCGCGATTTTTTCTAGATCGCTGGTTACACTACCCACCTGATGAAGCGCATCCAGCGTGGTCCCGTCCGCGGTATCTCCTTCAAGCTTCAGGAGGAGGAGCGTGAGCGCAAGGATCAGTACGTTCCTGAGGTCTCCGCTCTCGATGTCTCCCAGACCGAGTCTGGTCAGCTCGACGTTGACGCCGACACCAAGGACCTTCTCAAGTCCCTTGGCGTAAGTTTTTCTACACACTACAATGTCTTGGCATATATACTAATATATATCTACAGTTCGACAACCTCAAGGTCAACGTTGTTGCCGTCAGCCAGCAGCAGCAGGCCGAGCGCCCCCGTCGTTTCGGTCCCCGCTAAATCCAGCGCCCGGAATAACGAAAACAAAAGTTCATACCTGGCCTTCGGTCGACCCTTGGCGGTACCCAATTGTCTGTTCTGGCTGGCTTTTCGCCCAGCTAGCATGGTTTAGCTAGTGTGGAAGGCTATTCCTGGATGAGGAATGAATAAACATGATTCTCTTTGAGAAAGGTGTCGCTGATTCTCCGAAAGGAGATGACGCTTGATTGCCATTTTTTTCCCTCTCGTGTCTACCTATGAGTTAACTCTCTGGGTTGGACTACGTAGGAGTTCTTAAACTGGGGGAAACCTTGGTCTAAGAGACTCGAGACCTTTGGTGGTCTGAGTCATGTCTGGATTTATACCTATATACATATCCATGTATGGATGTATAAGTTCTGCTGACCAGCCTATAGCCATAAATATGGTCTCTGCGTAGATTGTTCATTACTCATGTGTCAATGTCACCATTGATCGGGTATTAAAAAGTAGAACGCCGAAAAGCCCGTTGGAAATCCCATGGTACCCCTGCTATATCAGATCTGATCGAGCAGATCTATATCTCCATCCTGGTCCACGTCTCGTCGCTCCCTGGGCACGTATCCTTCAATGGAACCGCCATTTGCATCCTCCGGACGCATTTGTGGAGCGTCAGCGACCTGCTGAGAACCACGTTGATTTTCTCTGATATCGACGTTGACACGTCCATCTGGACGAATCAAACTGGTATCGCCGCGTTCCATCGCAAGCTCCCGGGACCGATCGCGATTCCCAAGTCCCATGCTCTGCAAATCATTCACAACGGAAGAGACACTGCTAGTAGCTGCTGGTGCTTTCAGGCGTTTGGCGCGGGCTTCTTCAAGTAGTAAAATGGTCGTGCCCCGCGTATCGCCCGCCCGTCGTTCCCACACAGGCTTCTCGGACAGCTGCACCCGGATCCAAAGAGCACGCTCTGCGCATGCATGTGAGCACCACTTTTCGATGCGGTCATGAGAAACGATATCCACGCTGCGACCCCGTCCTCCTGGCCCGCTTCCTTTGGGGCCGTATTTAAATTGGAACCCGCCTTGTGGGCCGTTTTTCTTGCGATGCTTGCGAGGACATAGAGCATACCCGCACAAATCTTCGAAATTTCGCTCCAGGATCAGATTGTCGTAGTCGCTGGGGCGGAATGGGGCGAGTGCATATTTAAGTTTTACGGTGTCTTCTTGAGATGGTGTGGCAGGGTCCGCTGTCGGGGAGGAGGGGAGCTCGAGGAGCTCGAGGATGCGGTTTAGGATCACATCTTCGGCGTCTTTTTGGGTCTGGATCTGCTGCGCGTGTTCCAGAGCGACTTCTAGGTGCTTTTGGGTCGCACCGGGCCTACCTTCTAGGTATTTGTCTTGCTCTTCTTGTGAAGGGTATAGGTATGAAGGTGGGGGTTGCTGGGCATTGATGGCGGCATATGTCTCGGGAAGAGAGGTCTTGAGAGGGTGGCTTGGCCCTTGCTGTGCCATGATTTTATGATTGAGGTCCCTGGAATATCACCCAAGGTAAGTTGAATTGAGAATGAGTTGAGTTGTAAAGTGAGACGAAATCGAAAAAAAATAAAATTAAACCAGCAGAATTCGGCTCGAAAGCGGAAGAGGCGAAAAACCCCAGATTGACCCCCAATGGGACACTTCACTGCTGACGTAGGCTTTGGGCATTTAGGACTTATAATAAAAGGGGGTTTCATCTTTGACTTTGGGGATCACATAGCTTGTACATCTTATATACTACATGTAGTATATAGTTACTCGGTATTTTGTACAATTTACATACATAGAATATTTCTCTTCGCCTATATAAGTAACGTGTACAGCTGTCCAAGCTACCTAACCATACCTAACCCTGCATATACCAAGCTACATAATCTAATACACCTCTCTTCAAAACGAGTTGGACACCTACATAGATCTAATATCGATATAAAATCATTTGATATAAAACGGCATTTCCCCTCATGTGCGTGTTCCCTGGTTGATGTGTTAGCCGCCGATCGCCCAGTGGAGCCCATTTCCCTCATCCCGCCAAGTGACGACCACCTCACTACATCCTCTTCCCCTACTACTTTTTTTTTTGTCTTTCCGACCGTGTTCTTTTTTTTACCCATCTTGCATCGAATCTTTGCTGGCCCTGTCTAGGGTGTTCGGTTCTCCACGCCGTGAGTGCTTCCGCAGTTACCCCCTCCCCCCTCATCTCCTGGTCGTAGGCACCCACTCGTTGACCTCAGTTTCATCTAAGCTGACACGCCTTCGTACCACAAAGGAATTGATTCGTTTTGCTTTAAATATCGCTACATGTTAAGCGTATTGAAGCTAGCGATTCGTTCTGTACAGATATTCTAGCGTCATTGCGTCACAGACTGGTTCAGCATTCCTCACTCCACACCGATTGTCCTAAAGTCTGAACATCGGTTTCAACTTTCCAGATGTCAGGTCCGCCATTTACGGTCCGCTCGGTCTTCGAGTATACTTCGGGCCACGATGACGACCTCAACTTCCCGATCGGTCAAATCGTAACCGTCACCGCCCTCGAGGACGACGATTGGTACTACGGCGAATACTCAGACGCCCAGGGGGCCAAGCAGGAGGGCATATTCCCGAAGAATTTCGTTGAGAGATACGAGCCTCCAGCTCCTCCGAGGCCATCTCGACCCAGACCAAAAAAGGAGCCCGAGCCGGTGCCAGCAGAGTCCCCCGTGGTCGAAAGCAAGCAAGCTGAGCCCGAGCCCGAGCCTGAGGTGCAGCCCAAAGAGGAGGATTATGAGATTGCATCCCCGCAGGCATCTATTCCCCAGTCTCCTCTACGTGCGAGTGCCCCTACAGCAGAAGCTGCATCCTCGCCTCCGCAGCCGGCAAAGGCGCCCGCTCCGGCCCCTCCCGTGGCCGCAACTGAACCCGCAGCCAAAGCACCCTCAAAACCTGCGCCTCCAGCTGTGGCGGAGAAACCTTCTGGGTCGTCATTCAGGGATCGTATTGCTGCATTCAACAAACCTGCTGCGGCACCAGTTACGCCATTCAAACCTGGTGGTTCCCAGCCATCTTTCATCAAGAAGCCTTTCGTCGCCCCGCCTCCTAGCCGGGACGCCTACCGGCCTCCACCAAGAGAACCCGCACCCAAGGTCTACAAAAGAGAGGAGGATCCCGACGTGAAAGAACAAATTGCCCGGGAGCCCCCGGTTTCAGAAAGCCGGCCTGCTCCTATTGAAGGCGGGGAAGAGGGCGCAGAGGACCAGCCCAAGCCAACTAGTTTGAAGGACCGAATTGCTTTACTCCAGAAGCAACAATTAGAGCAAGCACAGCGTCATGCAGAGGCAGCCCAGAAGAAAGAAAAGCCCTCCCGCCCCCCTCCTAAGAAGTCGGCGGATGAACCTGTGGCTCCCGTGCCTAATGAGGAACAGGAGGCTCCCTCTGTCGAGGAGTCCTCGGCTACTCGAAATCCTAGTGTTGATACCTTGAGGGCTGCGCCCCCTCCTCCACACCCCTCTGTCCCATTCTCGCCCACCCAAGAAATCGCGAGTGACGCCAATGATGCGGACGACTCTGCTGCTGCAGACTCCGAGGATGCAGGTGAGACATCCGCTAGTAAGGATGATGAGGAAGATCAGCCTCAGCCTCGTCCTGTCTCCCAGCGCCAACCGTCGACTCGTGCGGTCGAGCAAACTACCGAGGCGGATGTTGAAGACGAGGGTGATGCGGAGGAAGAGGAGGAAATAGATCCTGAAACTAAGCGCAGAATGGAACTGCGTGAGCGAATGGCTAAGATGAGCGGTGGAATGGGTATGATGGGTCTCTTCGGCCCGCCTGCTGGAGGTATGCCAGGCATGTCTAGTGCCGGTGGTGTTCGCAAGGCCAAGACCCCCGGCGAGTCAGAGAAGAGACTTGGAGAGCTTGAGCCTGAGCCCACCTCCCCTGCCAATGCGCCCCCAGTTCCTATGATTCCTCTTCCTGGAATGAACGTGGCCAGCAAGCCGGCACCTTCTTCTATTGAAGTGCAGAAGGAAGAGGAGGAGCCTTCGGCAACTCCTCTCACGGAACAACACTCTACACGCGACGTGCCAGATGTCGAGGAGGTCATCCACGAAGGTGCACTGCCTCGTACCTCTGTGGATCGTCCGGCCCCGGCTCCCCCATCTCAAGGTAAGATATCCTTCGGCGGCGTAATGTATGGTTTCAATTTCTGATAGTCGCAGATCGTTCCGCACCTCCTCCACCTCCTCGAGAGTCAAGACCCGTCCCGACTGTCCCAGGTGAACCACCAGCTTCCCCTCCACCAGTTCCTGTCGGTAAGTACTTAGATCCCGAAACAAATTATTTGACATGGGCGTTAACCATGATATATAGGCCGATCAGCTCCTCCTCCACCACGGCCCACAACTGCCGACAAGGGTGAAGAATCTGATGATGAATTGTCGCTCCACACATCGAATCTGTCCCTGAATACCTCGGCTGCTCCTCCAGCTGTGCCTGCACCTGCGATACCTGATCAGGTTGATTCTCGCCGTTCCTCAACCTATGACCCTGTGCCCTCTACGGCTTCGACCCCTGCGGCCGAAAAGAGAGCTAGTCGTCTACCGCCTCCTATTCCAGTCAATCCGCCTATGCCACCATCGCCACAAGGCCGCGGTCCCCCTCCCCCACCTCCCGATCAGCTTCGTCGCCGATCTACCGCTGATAGTCGCACGAGTGCGTTAGCCGCTCCTCGACAGGCTGGAGAAGAAGCGGAAGGGGAGGTGACTGAATATGATGGAGACTACGACACTGATATCGCATCGGGAGTGAAACACAAGGATGCTCTAAAAGCTCACGAGCGTGACTCCAGCTTTGACGAGGGTATCACCACCGACGACCACTCTATTCAGTCCCCGCGCAGCCCCCAGGAATCCCGGCATCCCCCACCTCCTCCGCCCACGGCTCCCAGAGCAGTTCCGCCTCCACCCCCAAGCCAGCCGCCCCGGAATGCCCGTGCGTCTATCGACACACCCAGGGGACCCCCGCCGCCTCCGCCGAACAGAGAGCAGGTGGGCGATGATGATGATGTTGAGTATGATCCTTTCAACTACGCCGCTCCCCGGCATGGTCTCCCCACATCTCCGCCCCTCCCGCTCGGTCGCCCAGAGGCTCCTCCTCCTTTCCCACCACAGCAAGCGGCCGATGAATATGACGATCTGTATGATGCACCTCCTGTGCAGAGCCCAGTAAAAGAAAGACCCTCTGCCTTGAATGAGAAGCG